GCGACGTCACCTTATTTTTTTTTTGGGGGGGGGGAGAGGGCATGGCCCCCTTTGGCCCCCGGATCTGCCCTTGGCAGTGCATTGCGGAAAGGTGTGGTTCAATATGCAGTTTGCAGTCTTCTTGACTTGAGTTCTACAATTTAAAGAAAATGAACCAGATAACAGCTGCTTTTTCCTTTCTAAAATGGCCATTTTTTGAGAAATTTACTACTGTGGTCGAGACGTCAGGCCATCATAAAACGCTATTAAAGAAATAAAATGACACAATAGGTTTTCTTGTTCGTCGAATACAGTCCTGTGATCAGGGCAGTTGCAACGGTCTAGACATAAATCTTCTCGGTCTCTGCGCGAAGGAAGTAGGGTTCATCAGCATCGATTGTATTTGTGCAATTCTTTCAAATTTTAAGACACAATGATCGTCGATCATTCATAAAGCTTTGGCGTGGACAGGTTTCCCCCACCGGCCGACTGTCTGTGATTCCAGTACTTGCAAAGATGATCCCCGTGTATTAATGCGCAATGCCAAAACACAGACAGGTCTGTAAATTGACCTTATCCTTCAATATCAACCAACCCCAATGAATTGGAACTGACATCGACGTCATCCATTACTGCCGACGGAAACCTGTGGATCCTCTCGATTGCAGAGGTATAATACATGGATAGAAAGAGTTGTACGTGAACAGACCTAGCGGGATGCGTACACTGTGCAACGATCAGGACCGAATAGGGGAGAAGGGGTACGGGTGAGGACGTCTGACATTTGGTTGGAAACCACTGTAATTGCATCCAAACTGATGACGATATCTGTAAATACACGTAATAACTCACTTCAGCTCTGCCATTCAGCTTTAGGCTCCATTATCTAGGCCTATACCGTACCTGCAGGCTGGGGTTGCCGACAGTAGTGTTTTGTTGTCGCAAGTAGGGCCGCGGAAATCAATCTTTGCTTCTCTCTAGTCTCTTAAGATTCATTTCAAGAAAATGAAAACTCACCATATCTGATGTTATACGCGTGAAGAGGGAAATTTGTTTAATATAAAAAGACTGAGTTTCCATTTTTTTTTTCACTTTCAATATGTTTTAATTCCGCAGAATTTTTCAACTCTACATTGTCTGGTACCTACACGTTCATTGGGTGATGTAGAGATATGTCAGGCTGTTTGGGAATAAGTAATAGAGCAAGGTTGACGGTACCTGAGCAATAACTAACTATTTTCGTCTAAAACTTTCATCGGTTTTAGAAGACAATTTAAATAAAATAGTCATTACATCTCCCCAATTCCACCTGCCTAGTTAGACTGCAACAAGGCTGTTGACAATGTGGTATTGGTTTCTGCAGGATACAACAAACGAATTCCGTAGGCCTAATTATATTTTTCAAACAGAAACAGTCTCGGAACATGTACCTAGAACACTTGCTTTAAAGGGAAAATACAACATTTGCAAACATCAAAAAATAAAACTACCAAATCATTTTGATAAACCTTGCTGGACTGTTAGTAAATGACAGTGTAAAGCATCCTGTAAAATCATGGCACCTGGTATACTTTCAATTTCAAGAAAAGTGGTATTTTTGTATCAATTCCCAACGCTGATCGGCCGATCAGCGTTGGAAAAACTGGCTTTTTTCAAATACTGGCCCCAATTGACCATCGCACTTGTTTGCAATCAATTACAAACCTATGAACGGGTACGAGCCAGCTAGACTGGTTCCCTGACCTTACAATTCCCCAATGTATGTAAACTGCTCTGTTTTTTTCTTATATGGAGTCAGGGAACCAGACTACAGGAAAATGATTGTTTTTCTTGGTTTTTATAGCATTTTCGAACCCAAAGCCTCAAAAAAGTCAGTGTAACTATATTTGCTATATATTTCCAACCCCTCAATTCCATCCATTTCTGAAAATTACAGCAAAAGCAAATGATGTATATTCCCTTTAAAAAAAAAGTAACAACTTTGAACCTATGTTGACAACTCGTCAACACCTGTTCACCATATTGGTTGAGGGAGAATAGGAAAGGGTCTGCCATGTTCATTAGCACCCCGTGTTATCACCAGCTCTCCTAGACCAGTACGGGAAGGGGGTTGAGGTCTCGAATTTGCTGAGCTTTCCGTGGTCCGGAGAAACCTCAGGAAAATAGTAGAGCAGCTGCTGGATTTTGTTCACCACTTGAAGCTTCTTTGAAAGCTAAATTTTAAGAGCGGCGTGCGAGGAAGGAAAAAAATCTCCAAGCTAAATGCTGCATTTTCGCACTGATACAAAAAGCACGTACTGCCAATAACCAGTGTAATAAGTTGGTTGTGCGACATGATTGCCTGAACATTTGTTTAAATGCCTATGATTTTGACAAGGAAAGCAGGGTAAATTGGTGGACTTATCGTTGACAAGTTGTATTTTCTCTTAGTTTTACATAGTGCCACATAATCGATGTTCATATTATTTGATCATGTATACCGGTGTTGAAGTGACCTCTTGGTGGTCCCACGCATGATGGTTTTTTAACCGTACTTGTCTCCGGGGCTTATTGTCAGCCACAAACAATGTTGACACTGTAAATTGCCGTCCAATATTTATTTTGTTTCTCATTACAAACTATATTTCTTGTCGCGTGAAAGATGTCGCAGGTAGTAAACCAGTTCGGTATTCCAACTGCGCACATCAAGATTTGACGATTTTTTCTGTTGGGATAAACATTTCACCATTTGCGTGCAAAAGCATAGCGGGTAAATTACAGAGATCATGGTATTCTGAAGTAACGTTTTCAAGCAGCGAAGTGGTTTTAGGTATCTTGCGTCTCGAAACTTTTGTGTGAACGAAAGTTTCCACCGTCTTTTCGATTGCATTAAAAAATTGCACAGAATGCAGATTCGGTTACCATGTCCCCCATAGCCTTGTGTGCATTTATCTGTCCGTTTATCCCGAAACAAAATTGTCGAATCTTTTTGTGCACAAGCGCAGTTGGAATACCAAATACTGGCTTACTTGTCGTGGCCAATTACAGCCTATACTTATATCCATCAATTACCACGCATCTGGGTGATGGATCATGTAAGCAGAGCTAGCTACACACCCATTCCACTCCCGGTGACTACAAGGCCCTGGACTGGTAATAAACTACCCCCTGGAACATTTCATTCATTCTGCAATGTAAGGGGAAACATCAGTTAATAATCTCTCCTAGTTCATGACTAACGATTGCTAGATTCGGCTAACGAGGAAGATACAAGCAAACCTTCAGGTCAAGTGACAGAGAGAACCATTCCAGTCTTGCTGACACACTCGCTATTTTATGACACGCTCGTGTAAACCAAAGCTGATATCCGTAGACATTCTCACGAATAGGCCTATAGGTTTATACACCGTGTTCTTCTCGATTTCCTATGCGATGTTGATAGCAATAGCCACTGCCTGTATTCAACCCTGTCTGCCTTACATAATTTAGCTTGTACATATTTTATTATTAAGCGATGTCTTTGCTTTTCTGTTTCTAGTTAAAGTTCAATTTCTATAGGCCTACATGGTATATTTATTATCCGTTTACTGTCATTTATGTTGTCACAGAAATATTCTTTCATGATTGTTCCACTTCACAACGTTTATTTCCCATTGACAATTAGCCTAGGCTTATTATGTTGCTTTTCAGTTTGTGGTGGAATACATGTTGCATTTGAATGTTTTTGTTTTTCTTTTTCTTTATCTTTATTTGACACGTGTGTTTCTTTGATTTCTCTCAATGTACATTCCAAACTCGAGTTTTATTTTAGTTTATGGTTGAAAAGAAATGAACTTTGTATTGAATTCAATTGACTGCAGTGTGCCTAATGGGACACCATACTTATGCCATTATTCGGAGAAGGAATCTTTGGGATGTTATGTTCGTGACTTGTAAATGCCAAGTATGTAATTGGTCTCATAAATAATTTGTCCGATATGTAATTGGTTAAATGTGTTATTGGTTGAATATAGTATTAGTTAAGAAGGACATGTTATCAGTTTACTGAGTTATTGGTTGAGTAAATAATTGATCTAGCACGGGAGATTGAGTTATCGGTTGAGTATAAGTTATTGGTTGAGTGTTTTTGTTATTTGCTTGGTGGTCTAGTTTGATTAATTCAGACTTGTCAAAGAGAAGGATTCCTTCACCCCATTCACACATATCGAGCGCTTCACACAAGTTCTGGTCCAGTTCCCAACTTTGAAAATCAACTTGATTGTTGATATCTCTTGATGACCGCCAGATGGGCGAATTGTAACACAGAAGATCCGGGTTGAAGACAAACACGACCGATCTGGGTAGTCTCAAAATATAATGGAAGATCCGGCTTGGCGACAACACTGAACTGCGTGTTCCTCAGCCAAAATCTTATTGACAAAATGACCGTCAGTTTGAGTATTCTTTGGTTAATTGTTCGAGCAGATTTAATGGACGAATACTTCAAAGTAGGTGTACAATTTCAAATGTAAAGCTACTTCCGCGAAATGCCATTGCTTTCTTCTGGCGCATCACTTGAACACTTACCGTGGTCGCACAAAATATGAAAATGTGAAAGTTTGGAACATTTGCAAGACATCTGATCGACAATTCAATATGACTTCCTGCCATTGCGACATATTGAGAAACCACCAAGTTATGACATAAACACGTGCTTCTTTTCCTCTCGAGTTTCGACTTTTGAGTATGAGGTGAAGACGATCGGTTTGTAAAAATATTTTGACAAGTAGAAATTAAGTCATCGCTCTGATCATTCCCTGTCTTGCTTAAGGTGCTGCCAATGGACCACAAGCTTGGTCAGTTCCCCAGTGCAGCTATAGTTATCTCAATGTATGCATGTAACACTTTTGGAACCATGACGTATGGCGCGGATAGAAGGTAATTAAAAGGTAATTATACAGAGGAGAACCCAAGATGCCATATCTAGTAAGTGTAGCTGTCGTCAATGGACGGAGACTCATATGAAAGGATACTTTATGTATGTTGTGTCTGGTTTCTTGTAGAGTCCATCTTGAAGGCAGTGTAAATGTCACGAGATATCGATGCTGTCCCGGCTGGAGACGAAAAGGACCCGACTGCAGCAAACGTGAGTACACCAACCTGAAAAATATTTCTTTCTTTTTTAAGTTTTAAACGATTTAGTTTGAGAAGGTTGTATCCGGTTTTTTAAATAGACATTATACTTTTCCTTACCGATATGACTTTAATTCCTAGCTACATGTATATCATCCAACACCAAGGGAACCTGCGTTACAGTACTGATCCAGTTCTGCCCAAGTTTAATAAGGACGACCATAAGATTGCTTAATTTTCACAGTTTCCGATCTGGAGAGATTACCCAGAATCTCCATTTTATCGACCTCACCGGAATGTTCAATAACCTGATTTCGGAAGGGAACCATGTTTAGACCTTGTGACCCCCGAAAGCCATCTTGTGATGATTTATAATCATTAACAATCTGAACCATGCAATCCATGGTAGTACTTGGCATCCCACCGGTGGCATTTTGAAGTACCCAGTCCATAAATAAGTAGTGCCAAGCCTCCCTTGTTTGTTGTTTTAGGGACACAACTACATCTTCACTCGGAGTAAGGTTTGAATGCTTGGAGGGAGGTTTCCTTTTCTGTGTTTTAACTTAAGACAGACTTGGTTCGGTTTGGTCAGTGCATGGTCAGTGGTGCACCAATGAGCGGATTTACAGGGTGTTCCCAAAAAAAGTTGTGCAAGCAGATATCCTTAAATTAAAAAAAAACACCTACTTAACATGAGCATTTCATCTTGATGGAGCATATTAATTATACTCTTGTGTATAATCAGAGAAAATGCCTTGGAAATCCGTTCATGCACACCAGAGATCACATATAGCAGAGGGTGAACAACGGCAAAGGAATGCCCTACTCACAGTTCATTTGAATAGCATGTCACTTGAGTCGAGGCTTGGTGACTTCTGATCGATTGATATGATGTATCATAATTATGATTGACTTGTGAAGAGTTGTAACCGTGGACCTCTTTACAACTCTAGTTGAAATAACGGAGGTTTCCTTTAAAGAAAATGTGTTATTAATTAACGTCCGGATTGACGTACTGGCGCCGGGTAACCAATCCACGCGATATAATATACTCGATGGAGTCCTTATTTAGTGCAGGTGAGGTCCAGATCAATCATATTCATTATCAGAGATTTATGTGACGAAAGCGCTATTTATGGCAAATGTTAATTGTCTGACTCTCAGGGGTGCCTTTTTTCACACAATACCAATTAAAAAGTCGTTTACAAGCGCAAACAAAGGGAAGACGTTAATTGTCTTGGCCGAACTGGTAAAGTGGTCGTTTCCACGCCTTCGACAACTTTGACCTTTGACCTAGGTTCAAATCCCACTGCAGCCAGGCACGCAGGAATGCCGCGGGGGTTGTGCGATTCTTTTTCTCGACCTTAGGGCGAATAGGTGTCGTTTCTTAAGCCAGGTAAAAAGAGCTTGCTTCTGTCGGAAACAAGACGGTGCTTCAGATTCCTGAAAGCCAAAGGGAGAGTTTTTTTTAAATATAGATGACAAACCTTACCGTGGTGGAGTTCCATAATTATGAATAATTTATCGTTGATGTCAAATATTTCGTTGTACACTATTTTAACGGTAGGCTTACTTTCCCTTTATGATACTTATTCAATGACAAATGACCTTATCGTCACTAGACCCTACACATAATGGACGTGTTGCCTTCTAATTTACCGTCAATCTCTTGCAAAGAAAATCAAATTTCTAATAGTCGACGAAACTGAGTGATCCAAGTCAAGTTTTGAAATCACCGGACGGAGTGTAGACTGCAGTATGCAACTCCATGTCATACACCTGGCCTAGTTTCCCAATCGAGAGGATGATCGGCTCTTCATTTTGTTTCACTCAAAATTTGATAAATAATCTCTGTTATTTCTGGCGCTTGTCATGTGGCACATAACTTAACCTATAACTGTCCAGCCATAGTCTTCCTGTTGAATGACGTCGAGACAATAGTTGCAATGATACCATACCAGACGAGTGGTTTTTTCCCCCTGGCTCAAACGGGGAAAAAAGAGGAAGTAATTAAAAAGAAAGGCATGCAGCCAAACCGGCAAATGGTTGCTCAATGTGAAAGTCAGAGTCTTTTTCGAGCCATAACGACCAAGGGCACTTTTGTAAGTTCACGTTGGAAGATGTATATGTCATTGATCTTGCAGTAATGTTGATCTTGCGGTACGAGGACAGCTCATCATAACCAAGGTGGTCCTTGCGGATTGATATACGATGGTATAGTGTTGGCTTTGTGGTGTACCTTTTTTTGTCACAATGCGTGGCAGTATTACTCATAACCTGGTTTAGTCCCTATACTACAGACATGACTGTAGGTCAAATGATAAACTGAGAAATTGAAAACCGTGTTGTTTATTATTTTAACCAAAAAATGCATTTGAATCATTCGTGTGACGATATACAAGATAGTGAAACAAGAGTCAGGCAATTAATGTTTTGTGAAGCGTACAAACTGACAAAGCATTACTGTTTCTGGTTTTCGGGCATGCAAATCTTCCTCGATTCAGCTGATTTTTTTCATCCCCCACTTTTCTTGTATGTCATTTAAAACTGAAAAACACTGCAGGGTAAAATGGACTTTATTCACAAGGTAGCCATTTTTGTCGTGTTCCCTGAATGCATTTCATAAATTGTTAATTGTTGAATGGGATGGCGCAAGACTATTAATGCAGTCTTATTTTACTTTCATTTTATTTTTAAATCCGGCTTAAAACATTAGGTGATGTTTAATTACAACTTTTAAATTATTTATTTAAGCAGACTTGAATTATTTAGTAATGTATTTGCTCTTCACAAGTTCCAAAAATGAAGATTTTACCTCACTTTCAATTCAACATGGCCGACTCGTGAATAATACCTATGCTTGGCGCTTCCTCTACATTGCGACTTCCCAGTTGCCTGGGTAGTTTACACGGATGGTTCTTACTGCGTATTGCGGCTTTACCAAGAAATGTTTTGAAAGGAACTCTTGACACTGTAGCCCCTGGCCAACAATAAACTGAAAGGTCCTTGTCTTGTAGCCAACTTCCCCCTTTCCGTTCCAAATTCCCCCTCTCCTCCTGGCTCCGTCCAATCCACTGACAAGATTTTACAGTGTTCCTGAAGGGACATCATGAAACCTCTGTGCCTCAAGTTGGCCAAGTCGCTTCCCTTAGATCCCACAACCCTCCCCAAAGAAGGAATAATCCCACAAAGAACAGTCTTCGACATTCACCCTTCTAATAAACGCTTTTTAAAAAGGGTCTTTTGTGAAAGGTGCGATAACATCAAGTAGCATTGCAACTGAAATCCATGTGTACAGGCCCCTTCCCTGATCTGAGACTGGGAGAGGGGGGGGGGTGTCTTAAAATCCCAAAGTGGAACATTTTACGCGCGAGCGCGGAGCGCTAAGCCCAATATGGCGTGGGGTCCGGGGCCCGCTGAAGGGCCCGAAAAATGTTGGAATCTAGATGCTCCAGTGCAATCTGAGGCATTTCCTGGCCACTTTCCCCGACTTTCCCCTCACTTTTTGAGCCAAAAAAACACATGTTCTTGCTTTTTAATTTTTTTTTTTTAATTTCTGAGCGGAACTTTGTCACCGTGTCGGGGATCGGGGGTCGTTCGAACCCCCGAACCCCTTAGCGTACGGGCCTCGTGTTGCAAACTTTTTGGGTGGAGGGAGGCTGTGGGATTGGAATGCATGGGTTTAGGATAGGACAACTCTAATTCATGCAGTTTTATTTATGTTTGTTCACATTACAGAGACTCTCTTCCCAAATAATATTTACACTAAAATGTCTATACCGTGACATAATGGGCAACACGGACTGATGAAACAATGCCACCGAATGGAAATGTCAGTGTCTGTTTCATGCTCCATCACCCTAGCTAATCCCAAACATGCCAGAGGTGGGTAGAAGCATCAATCAAAAGACAAGATCGTCCAATTATCTTCTGTAGTGTGACACAACTGTCGGACCTTGACAGGGTATTATATGTGCCTGAATCTGGCCCCTTCTGCCCCCCTGGTGGTATACGAAGTGACCGGTGAATTGACAGTCACCACTTTGGAATTCAACTTGTGGCTTGTTTGGATTATCCCTGTCATGTTTATCGCTTCGACGATTTAATGCAGCTCTGGAAATGAACTTCAAATTGCTCGGGACTTTTTCCCCTTCATGTGGTTAAAACATCAAAGTAAGCACCTGGGTTCTCGGTAGGTGGCCGTTTGGACGACGGTTTCTTAATCAAAACTCGGCTTGTTTACAACTCCATGAATGCAATCTCAGATGCTTTCCATCTGTCCCCGACAGGAAGTGAGGCTTTTTGCCTTTCCTTTTAGCGGAATTCGACTCTAGAATTTCGTTTCTCGTTTTTCATTTAATCGAGTAAAATCCGAAATGTCACACGTGTTGCGGGCAAATCTGTGCTGATTTCTATTCCAATTCCATTACTCATTCCAATCACGCCAGAGTGGTAAAGCGGCTGAATAAATTCTTTCCGCAGACTAATTAGTCACAGACCACGCACTCTTTCTATTTTGCAACATAAACCAAAAGGTCACAGCAGGTCAGGTGGGAGAGTTCTCATGATGAATTATCCCATCAATTCAGCCATCAATTCAGGCTTGGTTCAAAGCACGCTAGGAAGGCAGGAAACCAAGTCTAACCATACAGCTATAGGTCTAACCTCTGACCCTTCGCAAAAACAAGACCTTACATAAGTAATCTTAAGCTGTGAACTTGTGATGGGCGCATAACATTAACAAAGCACATGATCAAATACCTCGTGTACGTTGCCGAGGCTTGGAGCATGATTGGAGCATGGAAGCTACATCATGATTGGAACAAGCTATGAAGGAACCGTACAGACTTGTTAGCTGATAAGCACTTTCACACAGATTTTCTCAATTCCCTGTTTACGGCCATAAAACACCGCAACACCTTGGTCTGATTCCAAATTTCTGCATTACCTCCTAAAAGCTGTGAAGTACGGTATATGCTCACTCGGAAAGCTTGGAAGGCCAGCACGGCTTTT